GGGGGGTGAGGAGAGTGCGGGCTGGGGGACCCTCGGGTGAGAGTGCTTGCAGTGAAAGATAGGGGCTGGAACTCAAGTTCCCAGCACTCCTGTAAAGAGAAGAGTGTGGCTGAACAGGCCTGGAGCCTTTGCACTGTATGGCAGCGTGGAGACAGGGGGATCGCTGGGTCTAGCTAGCTACCAGCCTAGCTCTGGGGTCAGTGAGAGATACTATGAACGAATAAGGTACAGGTGACAAAGCTGAACACTTAGTGTCCACACACCCATATGTATATCTGCACACATGTGCCCTCAACACACACCTAAACAAAATATATTTTGAAAACCAAAAAATGGAGATAAAGCATATATACCATTTTGCCATTTGCCTTACAGATACTTAAAGTTTTAAATTGCATGCTTGGCATGGGTGTGGATGCTTGTGGAGTCCGAGGGTGACAGCTTCACCCACTCAGCCAGCTCACTGACCTCAGTGACAGAGATCGAAGAGTGGCGAGAGAGACAAACGACCAGACTGGCAGAACAGCAAGCTGGCTCAGATTTTATTTTATTTTATTATTATTATTATTATTTTTGGTTTTTCGAGACAGGGTTTGTCTGTGTAGTCCTAATTGTCCTGGATCTTGCCCTGTAGACCAGGCTGGCCTCAAACTCACAGAGATCTGCCTGGCTCTGCCTCCTGAGTGCCGGGATTAAGGGCGTGTGGTGCTGCCGCCATCGCCATCACCACCACCCAGCCTGGTTCAGCTTTTTAAACGGCCATTTAAGAACACATTCAAAGCCCTTTAAAATGTGTAATATTGTTGAAGTATGATGGCAGATTCCTGTAATCACAGCAGGATGCAGAGGCAGAAGGATCAATATTGTTTCGAGGCCTGTCTGGCTTATGTAGCAAGCTCCAGGCCAACCAGGAATATACAGTGAGAATCTGTCTTACAAAACAAAACAACCAGACAGCAGCAACAGAAACAATATCTTTGAGCAGGTAATATATATTGAAAGAAAATAGCCAACCATATGCTTCTGCATTCAGTTAAAGGTTGTTCATGTATGTGTGAGCGTGTACATGTGAGAGTGTGTGTGTAAGTGCATGTATGTAGGTGTGTGTGTAGGTGCATGAATAGTTGTGTGTGTGTAGGTCCACAGTTAATGTTTCATGTTTTCTTCTACTTTCCACTTTATTTATTGAGATAACGTCTTTCTCTGAACCTGGACTTCTGCTATGGAATATTATTTTAACTAGGGAAATGTGGTGGTAATCTAATTGTATTGAAATATTATTTTGATTTGTACTGAAATATTAATTTGATTGTATGTTAATAAATAAAGTTGTCTGGGGGTCAGAGCTATTAGAGCCATAGCAAGAGTGTGGCGGTGGTGGCACACGCCTTTAATCCCATAGATATCTGTGTGTTCAGGGTCAGAGCTATTAGAGCCATAGCAAGAGTGTGGCAGTGGTGGCACACGCCTTTAATCCCATAAGATCTCTGTGTGTTCAGGGATACAGCCAGCATTGGAGACATATGCCTTTAAGACCTAGGGGGCTGTACATTCAGACAGTGACGAGGCAGTCATGTGTTTGGGTTTACAACCAATGAGAAGGCAGAACAACATACTTTAAAAATACGAACCGAGAGGAAGTAGGTCTCTTTTCGCGAAGCTGGGACAGCAGGAGGAAGGGTGAGATTTTAGCTCTAAGCTCTGACTTCTCGACTTTCTCTTTTACATTGTTTCTGTGTTTCTTATTTAATAAGACGGTTGGTTACATCTACAGGGAAAGATACATTACATTTCTTTATGCTGCAGAATATTACTTTAACTGTGTAGATGTGTGTTACTTTTGTTTATGCTGCAAATGCTTAATGATTTAAAGATGTATGTTTAATTATGTAAAGAAGTGTTGCATCTGTTTCGTCTTGCCTGCCTAAGCACCTGATTGGTCTAATAAAGAGCTGAACAGCCTGTTAGGCAGAGGGATTGGCCAGGCTGGCAGGCAGAGAATAAATAGGAGAGCTCTCGGTTCAAGAGAAGAGGAAAGGAGGAGAGAAGGAGGGGAGAAGGAGGGAGATGCCCAGGGCCGGAAGCCAGACAGCTGTCAGCCAGCCGGACATAGAGACAGCAAGAAAGTAAGAAAGGGTAAAAAGCCCTGAGGTAAAAGGTAGATAAACAGGTTAACTTAAGTCAAAAGAGTTAGCTAGAAACCTGCCTAAGCTAGGCCAAGCATTCAAAACTAATAAGTCTCTGTGTCATGATTTGGGAGCTGGTTGGTGGCCCAAAAGGTCTGGTACAGACCTCAATGATTCCAAGTAATCTACCTGCAGCTTGCGCTGGTCATCCTCCTGTCTCTGTGTCCCGAGCACAGGGATTCCAGCCGACACATCACATGGCCTGACCTCAGTCCTTATGCTTGCTAGACAAGCACTCTGCTCTCCACTGAGCCATCTCCCAGCCTGCAGTTGCTTTAAAACTCCCACGGGGATGAGCAGAGCACACTTGAAAAACTGGACTGGACTTTGGTCTGCTGGGTCTGGACTCACTGACTTCGCCTTTGGCTTCAGGGAAGGAACAAGGAATGGATGGAGTGGCAGCTGGGATGACTCCATGTTTGAACCACAGGAAGATGTGAGACCAGATGGGCCAAGCTGCGAGCTGCTCCAGGATTTCAGGGCATGGAGGAAGTGAGTCCTTCCTAAACCTCTCTCCTGTCTTGCAGCTAAGATGATCCCAGGCATCCCAGATACCCTGTCTGGCTTTGAGGTCTGTCCTGGGGACCTGTCTAAGCAAGTCTTGAGTGTCCTCCGCTGCTTTTTAGACACCTCTGCTTCCTTCTTGTCCTTTCCTGTTTTATTTCACAGTCCACATTATTAATCATATGCTATTATTTGTTTATGGAAGAACTAACAGATGGCTTTAAATATTCAACTCTTCACCTTCTGTGTTAGAACCGGCTTCACGGGGAACGGAAATTCATGTAAGATTGGTAATCTAAATTAGCTGTTGACTTGGTCATGAAAAAATATCTCCACTGTGGACTTCTGGGGTTATCTGTGACAAGTTCTGTTCAAAATAAAGTTATGAAGTTGATTGTGATTCTTTGGGAGATACCATATGTGTCTCTATATACACAGGCACATGCATGTGTATAATATACACACAGAAATATATATAGACAGATTTGGGTCTTATGTAACCCAGGCTGGCGTGAATCTGAGTGTATATCTAGCTGAGGATGACTTTAGCCTCCTTATCCTCCTGCCTCCACCTCCTGAGTGTTGGGAACCACCTGCCTCCACACCTGGCGAGGAGAGTCTGCAAGGCTATGATAGCAGATACTCATTGTGTATGTGAACTATGTTTATGGTATTGGGGAAGGAAAAGGATAAAAAGTCAAGAATATTTATCCCAGTCTGGGTTAACCCTACGCCTGGCTTTACTTAGAAGAGATGGAGGCACTGAAGACCATCCACATGCCTCCTCTCACTTCCAGGGAGATGTCTGACTTGATCACATGTGTTGTGGACCTGCACTCCAACAAGCAGAAACTGGAAGAGGAGAACACGACATGTAAACTGGCATTAGAAGCCATGGAAGAAGCCAACAGGCAGCTGGCAGAGGACTGCACCAGCCTACACCTTCAGATGAAAACGTGAGCCTCTGTGTCCCAGGGCATCTGGGGATTTCAGTTTTGCTGTTTCATAAACCCTTTAGCTACTCACGATTTACATCACCTGAAGTCCTCATTGGCGGAGTCTCTAAACCCGGGCTGTTAGTATGGACAAGGCTGTGCAGGCCATCACCTAACTCACTCCCATCATGCCAGAGAAACTCAGTGTCGTTCAGCAGGGACCCCTTGTCCTTGTCCTGTCCCCCTTGTCCTTGTCCTGTCCCCCTTGTCCTTGTCCTGTCCCCCTTGTCCTTGTCCTGTCCCCCTTGTCCTTGTCCTGTCCCCCTTGTCCTTGTC